AAGGTGCCATTACATGGCAGCGTTAAGCGTCGAGCGTCTGCGTAGAAAATTGCGCAGAATCTAATTTCAGCCTAGAATCTATCTCTTTTAAATTCTGCGCATTTTTCTGCGCAGACGCTTAATGCTGCCATGTAAAGGCACCTTTAAGTGGAACGCGCCCATTGGGTGCGTTCAACTTAACAACCGCAACGCTCACGGTATCATTTCATCCTTGTTGTTCACCGAAAATTAAACAAAGACAGACGATGCTCGCGAGCGTTGCAGTCGTTAAGGTGCCTTTACATGGCAGCATTAAGCGTCGAGCGTCTGCGCAGAAAAATGCGCAGAATTTAAAAGAGATAGATTCTAGGCTGAAATTAGATTCTGCGCAATTTTCTACGCAGACGCTCGACGCTTAACGCTGCCATGTAATGGCACCTTAATGTTAAAGCGAAAATAGCGTCAAGAGAAACGCATTTAAGCCCGTATCAGACTATGTATTGAAGATTAAAATTTGACCAATCAGGATAAAAGAAACTGAAATTTCCTTGTCCTGATTGGTCAAATTTTAATCTCAATGCATAGTCTGATACGAGCTTTACGCAAGCGCAAAAACGCCATTGTAGACAAAAACCACAATGTCGAGCTTCAATTGGTCAAGTTTTTTTTTGCCCTATGCTATGACTGCGTTCCGATATTCGCTGCCAGGGTACCGATCATGTAACTTTTTCCCTAGGGCGGAAATGTATATTATATTAGCATTGAAATCAATGGCAAAATTTTTCACTTTTCCGCCCTAGGAGAAAAGTTACATATCGATACCCTGTACCACAGATATTATTAGCATTGAAATCAATGGCAAAATTTTTCACTTTTCCGCCCTAGGAGAAAAGTTACATATCGATACCCTGTACCACTGAGATATTATTATTAAAGACCGTCAGCCCTGGGTAAACTTTTGTGACCATCAAGTGGGTCCGGTGGGCCCGGAGGTAATTGAAGAATGTTGACATTACCGGCCATTTGATTGGATCGAAGATAATTACACGAATTATTTAATTCATACGGTTATTTTACTTCATCCAGTTATAATTTTATTATCGAACACACCGACGAGATATTATTAGAGACCGATGGTCTTATAGAATTTAGCATATTACTGGAAAAAAACTCGCCACGCGGTACTGTAGGTACTCGCACGTAGCATGACGAAAGAGAGCGCTATGCTCTGTGCGAGCGAGAGAGAACACAAGGAGCACGAAACAGAGTATGTCCTTTTCTACGTGCACCTCGGCTCCCACTCCTCAACACTCGGTCTAGATATACTATGTCTATGGATTTCACATACACTACAGATTTTCAGTACAGGCACCAACGAGATATCATTAAGTCCGGATCTACAATAGGTGTAGTAAGCCCTAAGCCTTAAGAAATTGACTAATCATAGTCGAGTATTCTTCTCATACTTGATTGTGATTGGTCAATTTCTTAAGGCTAAAAACTTACTACACCTATTGTAGATCCGGACTTAATGATATCTCGTTGGTGCCTGTACTGAAAATCTGTAGTGTATGTGAAATCCATAGACATAGTATATCTAGACCGAGTGTTGAGGAGTGGGAGCCGAGGTGCACGTAGAAAAGGACATACTCTGTTTCGTGCCCCTTGCGTTCTCTCTCGCTCGCACAGAGCATAGCGCTCTCTTTCGTCATGCTACGTGCGAGCGAGAGAGAACGCAAGGGGCACGAAACAGAGTAT